AAATTGAAATAAATTTAAATTTGTTAGTTCTGATTTGCGATTTTAGGTTGATTTTAGATGGTTAAATTAAGTTGATTTTTGAAAAATTATGTCTGATTTGTATTTGAATTATGGTTGATTTGTGATTGATTTAAGTGGTTAAATTAGGATGATTTTTGGCTGAATTGTATCTGAATTGTGGTTGAATTTAGATTGATTTTAAGCTTAATTTTTAGGTTGAATTGTGTCTGAATTGTTATGTCTGAATTGGTCCTATTGGCATCAAATTGTGCCAATAAAAATTAAACCAAATTTATTACAATTCAGCCATAATTTAGACATAAGACAAAATTATACAAAATTACGATTCGCATTAAAATATTTTTAAATAGTAAATTTATATGATTTAATTTATCAAATTATCTATTCAATAAGTTGCAAATAATTCTTAGACCTGAAAAAACAATTAAGTTTTCATTGACTAAAATTTTTAGTTGAGAAAATTTTTGTTGATCTTCCACTATTCATGAAATTCTATAACTATATTCCGGTAAGACCATTGATCTTTTCCAACAGAATTTTATATATTTAATTATGCCATAAACAGAGCTGCATAGGATATACTAAATAAGTCAAAATTAAAAATTTAAAAATAAGCAAAAATGTTAAGGTTATGCAATGATACATGAAACTCTTTCTGTAAAAGGGTTCTTATCAAATAGAAGAATATAATATTTCACGAGTACTTTATAATTTATCGTAGTAATTACATTTTAATTCGATTATTTTAAATATCCATTAACAAATGACAGCTTAGGAGGAATAGTTATTTCCTGATCAATTATTAGCAGCAAAACTGTAGTTGTGTAATAAGTATAAATATATAACTGTTTATTATAATGCCCTCGATTGACTGTGCCTAAAATTGATCACTGATATTTTCCATTGTCAAGCAAGCAAGTGATTGATATTTTTAGGAATTCTGTAGCAAAAACATAGTAAAAAGCATTAGATATAATTGTGCTTCATTTTTGCCCTTGAATTTCGATAGTATTTGAATTAGATAGTTCTATTTTCAAAAAGGTCTATTACTTTATTATTAATAAACTATTCTCTTTCATCTTTTATTAACCCGATTATTGTTACTTCTATATTGATCAACATTGCCATATCATAAATCTTCTAATAATTTAAAATAAATTACTAATTATCTCTATTACGAAAATAAGAGATAACACTATTTTGTAAATTTATATCCTAATAATGCTATAGACCTTCAAATGTCTCCTTTATTGTTCATTTAATTTATATTAACCAATTAGTTAATCAGATTCCAAGATTATAGAAAATGTTATATGAGAGGACTCTCTTCAAACCATTCTATTTTATTAATATATATAACATTAGATATAATTAGTTTTTTTTTGTTTCTCTTAGCAATGTCAATTATTCATTGCTTCCTTACAATAATTTATTTTGTTGTATTTTCATAATGCTATGCATTTTAAAAGATAAATAAGTATTTAATTAACGTCTATAATGGGTCTTAAGAGATATTCAAATTACCTTACTTATTTGCAAAATGAAGTATATGCAGAATATAAAATTTATAAAAAACATTCTTTAAATAGACATAGACAGCTGAATATAATTATTATCATACCTAATTTCATTTTAGCAAAATTGAAAGTGTTCGAAAATTGATTTTGACAGTATCGAGTATGTTTTTATAGATTTTATATGGTTTAATTAATTGGATAATATGTGAATTGCGATTGAAAAGAAAACTTGAGCACATTTCTTAAATAACCAATATTAATTGTAATCAAAGAAAATTAAATTAAAATGTTAAGCACCAATAATATATATAAAAAAAAACGCTTATTTTTTGAGAAAAAGATGATTAAATAACTTCAGTTTTAATCATATCAATTATAAAGTATATCATATAAATAATATATTCATTATCTTTTGTTCTTTAGTAATTATAATATAATTCAACCTGTTAAAAGCCGTCAAATTTTGACAAATTATGTAAATTTTGTAAAAATATTAAGAATTAAATTCTAATAAGGAATATTATTTAAGGGAGTAATAAAAACTGTTCAAAGGTTTTGTTATTAATTGAAATACTACCTTTAATAAATAAAGTTTTGCAAAACAAATATAGATTATATTTTGATTTATCGAAACCGGTATTACCAAGCAATCTGAGAATTATAATGGCCAAAATTCTTATGTAATTATTGCAAAATTAAATATAACATTTATTTATACATTATAAAATAAATCTTTATTTTTATAATATACAAATTACTAACAAGAAAATAAAATTTTGCATATTATTATTATTTTAATGCAATTGAAGGGGAAAGACAATTTAGTTTTCTGTAATAGTATTTCCAGCTGTAGAAAATAAGTTTTCACAAGACAATGTATAGAAGTCGAGGGAATTACTGGATATATTCTTTCTTGATGTGCTAAAATTGGATAAAAGTTTTGATTAACTTTCCACCACTTAAATGGACTAAATGGACTATTATGATTTGAAAGTTCCATATATCCATATATTTGACTAATTCTTTTTGTTTTTCGGTTTTGAAAGTGGTGTATTACCGAAAAACAATTATAAAGCAGAAAATTTTGAAATATGTTCGTTAATAATATTTTGTAAATATGTATGAACTTCTCGTCGTCGTAGTGGTAATGTTGCAAATATTAAGTCTTTAAATTGTTGAGACAGAATCATATATATCTTGTGATTGAATTTTATACTTAACTTATCGTTGTCTAACACACGAGATATATCTTTTATTATATTTATTTATATTTAATAAATAATGTATTTTCCAAACAAAATTAAGAATTACAAGGACAAACCAACAAAATTTTTATGCCTTTTAAAAAAACAGTCAGGTTATCAGAAGAGCACAAAATGACAATTATAAACAAGTACAGCAATTTACGCAGCAGTTACAGGTTTTAAACGATTACAGTTGATTTATTCTGATGACTCTTTATGACACGCGTAAAGTATAAATAAGATACTTCATAATGGCGTGTAAACAATCGCATTTTATATATTACGTAGAGATAAAGTTCTATTTTTATTTCTAAGTTAAATCGTTTTTATCTTCTTTCATCTGTGAAAAAAATTTTCAAATATAAAATGTATCTTGTTTTCTATTATTTATACTATTATGACCTCACTTTGAATAAAAGGTTAAGCTTCGCTCTCACTTCTATAATAAGATGAAATAAATAAAGCATAAATAACTGCCGAGAAGAACTTGACTTCTTACAAGCCTTTCTTAGCATCAGGTATTTTCTAACGATAACGCAGCCTAACTTTTATTATGTTACTCAACTCAAATATTGGTGAACACCAAGATAAGCTTTTGCGTCAAAAATAATTGTTCATGAATGTGATGTAAATTTTTTAAGAATACTTATTTAGTACATATATTTTATTGGTTCGTCCATGCTTTTACGCAGTATAAAAGCAAGAACCATCCGATTATATAACAAAAGATCAATTTTCTATATAAATCAATGATTTGGTTTTTAAAAAAAAATTCAAACTGAAATGCAATGATGATTCAAATATTAATCGAAGAATACTTTCGTAGGAAATTTTCTTTTTTGAATATTTTCATTGTTATAAGTTAGTTTGATCAAACGCGCTTAAATAAACGCGCTTGAATTAGACTATATATACTCTTTGAAACAATAATCGAAGCTCAAATTAACGAAGCACGTTTAGAACATATATTAAACTTGTTTATGCTCAAACTCGGTTAAGCATATTTTATTGAAGCAATTTAACATCCCTAACATAAACTCATAAATTATTACAAAATGAATAAAGATAAAAGAACACGTAATAAACGAGAAAATCTTCTAACTTGAAACAGAATATTTTAATATTTCAGGATTGATAAATCTTAAGGAATCGGGTAAATTTGGTAAGCTAATAATTTGAGTTTTATAGCAATCGAGATTCTTTAAGGAGTTGGGTAAAGTTGGTAACCTGGAAATTTTAGTATTACGTACAATGAGATTCGTTAAAGAGTTTGGTAAAGTTGGTAAACTGGTTATTTGAGTAAAGGAGCAATTAAGATACGTTAAGGATTTAGGTAAAGTTGGTAAGCTAGTAATTTTAGTAAAATAGCATTTGAGTGTCGTTAAGGAATTGGGTAAAATTGGTAAGCTGGTTATTGTTGTATGAATACAATCGAATTCCTTTAAGGAGTTAGGTAAAGTTGGTAAGCTTGTTATTCGAGTATCACAGCAATAGAGATGCGTCAAGGAGTTTGGTAAAGTTGGTAAGCTGGTTATTTGAGTTTTATCACACTCGAGGGTTGTTAAGGAGATTGGTAAAGGTGGTAAGCTGGTTATTGGAATATTATCACACTCGAGGGTTGTTAAGGAGTTTGGTAAAGTTGGTAAGCTGGTTATTTGAGTTTTAAAGCAACGGAGTATAGTTAGGGAGTTGGGTAAATTTGGTAAGCTGGTTATTTGAGTTTGAAAGCAATATAGACTCATTAAGTAGTTGGGTAAAGAAGGTATGCTGGTAATTTGAGTATAACAGCAACGGAGTTGCGTTAAGGAGTTTGGTAAAGTTGGTAACCTGGTTATTGGAGTATCATTGCAATCGAGAGTTTTTAAGGAGTTGGGTAAGGTTGGTAAATTGGTTATTTGAGTATTAAAGCAATGGAGTATCGTTAAGGATTTGGGTAAAGTTGGTAATGCTAAGAAGTTGGGTAAAGAAGGTATGCTGGTAATTTGAGTATTATCACACTCGAGGGTTGTTAAGGAGTGGTGTAAAGTTGGTAAGCTGGTTATTTCAGTATTTGAGCAATAGAGTTTTATTAAGGAGTTTGGTAAAGATGGTATGCTGGTTATTGAAGTTTTTGAACAATCGAGTATCATTAAGAAGTTTGGTAAAGTTGGTAAGCTGGTGATTTTGGTTCTAGAGCAATGGAGTTCCGTTAAGGATTTGGGTAAAGTTGGTAAGCTGGCTATTTGAGTATTAGAGCAACGGAGTTCCGTTAAGGAGTTTGGTAAAGTTGGTAAGCTTGTTATTTTAGTATCATTAAAATCGAGTTTTGCCAATTTTCGATATCTTTGCAATTCTCCTGAGTTGTTTAATATGTAATTCATATTAATATCTGTAATTGTTAAACTTTCAATTGAATTATAATTATGAATTAATTCAAGATTTCTGATTCTTTTTTCTAATTCATTAATAATTTCTTGCTTTTCTTTAGATTCTTTTTCTCGTTCTCTAAACTTTTCATCATAATTATTAATAATTTCCTGCTTTGCTTTGGTTTCTTCTCTAACCTTTTCTTTTAAATTATCTATAGTTTCTTGCTTAGCATTGGTTTCTACTTCTCGTTTTTTAATCTTTTCTTCAAAAAAATTAATAGTTTCTTGCTTAGCATTGGCTTCTACTTCTCGCTCTCTAACCTTTTCTTCTAAATATTTGTATTGTGAACGTAACTCTTCATTACTTTGCTCTAATTCTTTAATTCTAGTTTCAAAGCCTTTTAAGGTATTTTCGATGTTGGTTTTTAGGACCATTTCTGTCAATAATTATTGAATAATTTATTCCTGGTTGATATTAAAACAATCTTTTATTTTATTCAGCCCACGGTTTACCTATGTAATAAAATTTCCATAAATTAACTAGTGTACTTAAAAAAGTATCAACTGGGATCGGTGAGATTTTTTGCCAAATAAAGTTATGACAAATTTATTTTTGAATTGTGATGTAACAAATTACAAAGGTAATTAATTGGAACGATTAAAGTGTTAGCATTAAAATGGAAAAAAAAAAAAATTTAAAATTGTATAGTTTTACATATCCGCCGATTGGCGTAATGCGTTGATGAATTATCACATGAAATTCTCCAAATTGGCGGATATGATGCAGTTAGTAGTCATGCCAATGTCACAAGTCGCGATTTTGAATCTCAAACTCGGGCAAAAATCGGTTACACGAAATCGAGAAAACAATATGGGTAAAAACAACAATACGCAAAGCTTGGAACAACAATTATTAGAAATTCTTCGAGTCCTGTAAATAATTAAAAAAGTGGATCAACTAAATATATTTGTTAATAATGAATTGTAACATTTAAAAAAAAAGGTTTAAAAAAAAAAATTAAAAAGCACCAACATGCATGTCACGTGACAGACAAACAGAATTTTTAATTATTTCTAACAAAAAAATATTATAAATGAGCTTTATATTGTTTTTATAAATTTATACAACTTTTATATACTTAAAACAATAAAAAAATCAACACTGTTTTTGATTTTCAAAACTGGAATCGAAAATCGTTTTTAGTTTCCGATTAATCGTTTTAAAAATCGATTGTTGCCGATTCGATTTTCGATTTGATATTTGAAACGCAATGCCTTTCCAGATGAAAAAAAAATTAATTTCATTGACTAAAATTGTCTGTTGAGAAAATTTTTATTTGACCTTCCGCCATTCATGAAATTCCATAAAACTATATCCCGAACAAAATTTGCATATTTTGATTCTGCAATAAACAGAGCGGTATATGGCACACCGATAAAGTTAAAATTATAATTAAAGGTATGCAACGATGATGCGAGAATCTATTTCTATATCACGAGTATTATATAATTATCGTAGTAATAATACTTAATTTTGCATGTCTTTAACATGGGAGGGTCATAGTTATTTCCTGATTATAAGCGGCAAAATCGTAGTTATGTAATAATACTATTCATTGATCAACATCGACCTTATCGTCATGGTTAATTTATATTAGTACTGTATTTATTAGTATTTAAGGAGAAATACATACTTTATAAATTGTTGTTTATGAAGTTCTTTAACTCTTCAAAGTTTAGCGAATGATAATTTTTTTAAATTAAATTTTAACTCATTATTTACTGCATTAATTGTGTATATAATCTTAGACTAGATAGAAGTTTCCAAAATGATTGCTTATAGACCAATTTGATTTATAATCAACATCTCCGTTTCGTTAGAATTATATTTTTAAACAATTATAAACTTGGTGGTATGTAATTTTTGATATATGTGGTTTTGATTGATTTTATTTATTGGCTTATATCTCACATCACATATTTATATCTATAAAATTTTAACATTTAATTAGAACATTTAATTTATTGGAATGACAAACCTCCCTGTGAAAAAACACTGTACAAGTTTTTGTCATTTTTGTGCCAAAAAATAACGGCGATTTCTTTACTATTTACGGTGCCAAAACATGCCAACACGAAAATATCTTATATTATATTTTCAAGACGATTTACTCCTATGATTTTACAACAAAATATGTAATAGTCACGATATCAATGAATTTCACGGCGCAGCCGTGAAAATCGTGAAATAACTGTTTTATCAGCATAGTCGGAAATTTTTTGTAAATAACAAATAAAATTCCGAAAAATATCGTATATTTTACTACAGATCATGTATGTATATATTTTTTAATTTTTACACATTAAAATAAACTATACAGTATAAGCTTTTGAAAAATTTTATTTTATAGACCGCAAAATACAAAAAAAATAGATGTAGACAAGATTTAAAAAAATAATGACCAATAACTTAACGATTGTTACAAAGAACTAATTGTTTGATTGTTTTCTATTAGTTCCGGTGCATTGTGTCCCATTTCTGTTTAGTTTAAATTTTAAGTTTTGTTAGTATTTAGTTAGACTTTTTGTAGCTGGCCAAATTGTTTGCAGGCCAATTTGTCTCCTGGCCAATAAGTCATCCGGCCATTATGTTTCGAAGACAAAAAGGCCTCCGAACAATCGGTCCTTACTGAACTTTAAGTATTAAAAAGGTGGGATTTCGCTTGAATGGATTAGAACGTATCAAAGAGTTACCTATGTTCTCTAGATAATTAAAAAGATAATATTAGCATAGCGGTATAACATTCATCCCCTTTCCCTTTTATTTGTAACGATAACGAAAGTATATTAATAAATTGCGTATCTGATCGTATAGAGCGTCACCTTATTTACGTAGATTTATGTTAGATTTTATTTGTTATAAATAAATACATTTAATACATAAACCTTCTGCTTACCTTTTTCTTTTGTTTATAATTTATAAACGTCTCGAACTGCGTGCAACACATGGTGCCTTCTGCCAGAAAAACAAAAATTAATTGTATGTTTCAAGTTCATATTGAACTAAATAATATACACGATAATTATCACCGGATACTGCGCCGAAGAAATATAACCACTTACCATCGAGATCGATCCTGCGAATATTGTTACGTTACCCCTTTGAATTCCCATTGACAGCCCGATTTCGGAATTTTTGGAACTGGTATTCTGTTGAATATCCTGCTGAGAACTTTTCGAGATATACTCAACAGTATCTCGAGGAACTTTTCTATACCAGAGGAATAGAAGAAACTTGGACCACTGTTTTTTAAATTAATATTCAGTATAACGACAAACCTTATATAACACATAAGGATTCCTTTTAGATCCATTTACCGTTCTCTACATCGCTAGCGAAACCACATCTCTGGTATTGTCTGATGTAATTTTGGATTAGATAATCTGGGAATATTAAACGATCCGAATTCTAATAATTTATTATTCAATACCGAACCTTTAAATCTTGAGGAATTATTTGGAGAGGAAAATCCCATGTAGCCCAAGCAGTTGAACTCCAAAATTTAACGCCAGCTTTACAAGCTCTGCAAGGAGTTTTGCAACCTCTGGGACCACCAAACGCAAACAATGCCATCATAAATTTACAAGCCCTAATGCAGGCTCTTGCGAATGCCTCTTAGAAGAGAAACTCGTGTGGTGGATATACCTAATTATTACGGAGGAAATCAAGACCCCGTTGGATGGTTAGAAGAGTTCACACGAGCATGTAATGCAAATGGAATTATAAGTGGTATCAACTTACCTCAAGGGACCAGCCTCTACCTGGTGTACAACAAATTAAGCACTAACAGCTAACAATACAAATATAATTAATGCATGGACAGGGAATAATATAATAACAATACTGATTTTATTGTTAATTTTCCTACCGCTTTTCGATCACTAACTTTAGTGAAATTTTGACAACGGAGCTTGAACGACGACATCAACGACCTAATGAGACCGTTGACGCCTATGCATGTGCCTTACAATAATTTTATAGGAGAATTGAAACTCTAGCATTTACATATCCAGCTGCAATGAAAGCTCGTAGGTTGGTTAATGGATTGTTACCTAAGTTACCTCTGATGGTGAAACCCCACAATGACCAGACATGAGATGCTACGCTTAATCGTTCTATGAACTCACCTATCAATATCAAAATGCTGTTGCGGAATATATGAATAAATATGGTGCTAAAACACCATCTACACAAACCAACGGCCTCAATGAAGCGATAGATAGTTTAGCTCAACAAATCCAGCAGTTAAATGTTGGAAGAAGAAATTTTAAAAATAATGACATACAAAGATCGTCAAATTTTCAACCAAACAACATGCTTTCGTCAACAACTCAACGGAATAATCTTATTTGCTACATAAAGAGAAATTGTCCTAATAGCTTTACCACTTCAAGTAATAACAAAATTATCAACATAATCAAACTACAGGAAGCAACATACCCACCCAATACAATCAACTGTTAACATTGCTCTAGTTGCAGGAAACAACAATCTTAAAAACCCGCAGTTATTACAATTGTTGTCACAGTTAATGCAAGATAATACCTGAGATCAGCATTTAAAACAAGTGGTATACCTCATGAGGGTGAAGATACGGAACCAACGACAGTTCCCTCGAATTTATCTTTATTTGAAGCTTATCCTGCAACTAGGACAAGAGTTCGAGCTGCCTAAGAAAAAACTTATGAACATGAAGTATCTGAAAATCTTGATAAAGATGATGAAGGAAAATATTTCCGCAGCTAACGAATTAACAAAAGAAAAGAACCGTGGTGTGGTGATTGAGCCAAAGACAAAATGAAAAGCACCAATGGTACCACCCATAAATAATATGGATGACCCATATACATTGCAACGATTCTTTGATCAACAAGCTAACATTACAAAAGACAACTAATAGCAATGAACCCTAAATTTGGGCAAGCGATGATGAAGGCAATAAGAAAACCAATGGACAAAAAGACCAAGGAAACAGTTGTTGTAGAAGAAAAGCCTGATAATATTGAAGTAAATTTGTTAATAACAGTGTAACAAAAAGAGCAACAGCTTTATACTGTGACACATATATAAACCACGTGAAATATCACTAATAATAGATTCTGGTTCCGCTGGATGCATCATATCATTAAAATTACTTAAAGACTTAGAGATACAAATCACCCAAGCCTCTAAGATTATTATGGTTAATGATAATGGTGAAAAAAGAAGGCCTTTATGTGCAGCTACGAATGTCCCCCTAAAGATCGCTAGACATATAATGCCGTTTGATACTGTTATAACAGAAGCTGATTCATACGCAGCTACGATTGGCTAAAAGAAATCCAGAAAATTATAAATTATTGAAAAAACCTTTTAATTTTATATTGGAACAATAAGGATAATATTATCCCGGTAGAATGACACCAAATGCCTCATGATCGAATCATCGAAAGGAATGATAAGTCCATGGTGATGAAGATAAGGAGGAACCCGATCACATCATCGATAATAGTGATAATAATGAGGAAGAGTATGAAGAGGAGGCTGATTTACAAGAACAAATATATTGTTTTAATCAATATATTACTGAAGAAGAAGCCAAGCAAATTGAAGAGAAGCTTTTAGAACAAATGGATGATAAACGATCTCTTGCTAATGAATCCTATTATCAATATAAGAAAACTGAAAAAGGCAAGTTCCATGTTGGAGAATTGAATAAACAACAAAAGGAATAGTTTGATATTTTTATGCAAGACTATAAGGACCTCTTTGTTTAGAACTCAGATGAATTCTGAAGAACATTTGTTATTATGCATTCAATTGATACAGGATCTGTTATGTCGATCAAACAAAAATTTTACCGAACCTTCCATCAAAATCAGAAATTTATCCAGGAAGAAATACGACGATTGTTAAAATCTGGATTAATTAAACCCTCTAACAGACAACAGACCTTTCTAGTAGTGGAAGTTGAGAAGAAGAATGTGAAAAAGAAACTATGCATGGATTATTGAAAACTGAATAGAGTAACAAAAAGAGATTGTTATCCACTTCCAAGAATAGTTAACATGTTAGAAATATTAACAGGATTATCCTGGTTTTCGTCTCTTGATCTTGCCAGTGGGTTTTGGCAGGTTGAGTTAGAACCGAAGAATCAGGAAAAAATCTCAGATTTGGTACTTACGAATTTACTATAATGCCATTTGAACTTTGTAATGCGCCTGCTATCTTTCAACGACTAATAAATATGGTTCTACGAGAAATATTATGGCTATATGTTGTTGTACACATAGATGATATTAATATCAGATCAAAAAACCTTTGAAGAACACCTCCATCACCTTAAACAAGTATTCTTACGCCTAAAAAAATGCTGGGTTAAAATTAAGTCCTGAGAATGATTTTTCTTTAAATAAAAACTATCATTTCTCAAACATGTTATAAGCAAAGAAGAAATCCAGACAGATCCTGAAAAGTTGAAGGTGATAAGAGAATTCCCTCGACCAAATGACTTTACACAATTGAGAGGCTTTATTAGATTAGCTTCATATTATCGAAAATTTTTTAAGGGATTTTTATCGATCGCTAAACCATTACATCTGTTATTAAAGAAAAATGTCTCTTATCATTGGACAACAGACTAACAAAAGGGATTTGAACGACTTAAGCTTTATTTGATTATACCACCTATATTGCTATATATCCTGATTTTGAAAAACCCTTCATCTTATATACTGATGTTTCGACATTTGTATTAGAGGCAATAGGAACTGATTTTAAGAAACACGTTACAGCCTATGCTAGTCGAATGCTAAATAAGCACGAACGAAACTATATCATCACAGAATTTGAATGCCTGACTGTTGTGTAGACAATAAGATATTTCCACCACTACTTGCATGAAGAAAGATTTGTTATAACTGACCACTCTGGTTTAGTATATTTGAAGAATAACCTAAATCCTGTTAGCAAACTCGGATGCTGGATTATGACTTTACACTCCTTCGATTTTGACATTATCAACCGACCTGAAAAACAACACTCTAATGTAGACACATTAAGCCGAATAGTACACTAATAGGATCAATTTAATTATTTTAACTTAGCCAAACGGATTTAGCATTTAATGATACTTCTAAAAGATATCGGATTTTGATCAGAAATGGACCTAGACATGTATTACTCTCTCACTCAATATTTAACTATGCCAACACTTTGAAGTCTGTAGAAAAATGAAAATGGTTAATAACTTATAGAATGCCATAACTAAATCCAAAAGAACAATCTAATAAAATTATTATAGGTAAAATTATTGTTGAAAAAAGAGCTAAATTTCAAATATATACTTAACCAAGTGCCAATGATTGTATCGTAACGAAATACTTTCTTTGATTCTTTAAAATAGTGTATAGCTAAAAAATTATCTTTATTGTTGTTTTTATCCCTAATATTTTTTAATATTTTGAACGAAAAGTCAAGTATGATATGATATATAATATACAGTATATAAATATAAATATATTTATTATATATTTATTATACAAATTCATACTATTTATTTTATTGTTCAATTAATTTTTTTTTTTGAAATTGTTTTCGAGAAAGGCTTCTGAGTAAAAGATTACAGTTTCAACAAATATTTGTGTAGATAAAAAATTTCTCAAATCAATGTTACGTATTTTTTTGTAGTTATTGAAGATTTTCAGTTTTCAGTTTTTCTATGAGAAAGCAGAATTTTTAAATTAACTAACGATACTCAAAACACGTGATCACATATTTTTATTAGTCGCTATAAGATTGGTTTCTAAAATGTATAATAATCACTTTGGCAGAGTTCGTGATGATGGGACAGCGTGAGATATAGAAATAACGTCTTCGGATCGATTCCTAGTCAAAGTGAAGTCAAAAAAATATCTTTTTTTTATGTAATATTTATCACGTGACTTATTATTCAAATCTCATGATTAATTAAATTTCCTAATTTACTCAAAATGATTTTATCGCTATTGCTCGAATAATACAAGAATAAAAGAGGATTGAAATAAAAAATCAATCAGTGCTTTCTGAAAAGGTTACTAAAAATCAGCTGGGGCATTATAAAGGTCAATTACAGCCGATAGATTTCATAATCCATTCAAACAAAAGAAAATGACGTCCTTTACTTATGGGAATGTGAAGAATATTAGAAGAAGAATGTTATAATCAAAGAAATGGAGTGGGTAAAATACTGTGATCAGATAAATTTGCGATTGGTTGGTCGAGTTGGTGAGTTTATATTTCTTTTGTCATCGGGGTTATTCAGGGTGGTATTTTCTTTTGGATGTTCTTCTAGGATCTATATATTAGTATATTACAATTTCATGAAAATATGTAAATAACAGCAAAAAAAGACTTTATTTGATTAATTTGAAATTCTTAATAATTATAAATACGATATGGTTTTAATAGACAGCTTAGCAAAGGTCAATTTACAAAATTTATAATGTTATAATTGGTAAAAATGAGAAAATTTAATTTAATAAAAGAATATCATCAAAAAGTTCGTTCCCTGAAACTTAGTAAAATTTCATTTTAACAGATTATCTTTATAGGTAAGGTAAAAGGATTTATTCCGGTTAAAATAATTAATTTAATTTTCGGACAGATATATTTTTACACCATGGAAGTCATCCTCTATCGCTAAAAGAAATTTTTAACATGATTTTCATGATTCTTATATTAATAAATCATGTGGGCGCACAGTACCTCCTTAATTTTGATTGTTCAAATTTCCAATTTAAAATCAAGACTGATTTTAGTAAAATCAACCGATACTCTATATTCTAGATTTTACAATTGCAAATATACTAGTATATATTAATAACTACTCCGAAAATAAATATGTGATTGAATGTAAACGAATTAAAAATCAAAAATTTTTTTTTATACCACAAATTGTTTTAAATGGCTATATATAGGCGAGAATAAATATCATCTTCAAAAACTACTTTCTTAATCCACCACAATAAAAAATAATATCTTCATGAAATCTTCGATATTTTTTGCAATCATCTTTGGTTTACTGGTACCTCTCGTTCAAGTCCAAGGTAAACATTTTAATAATCATGACAAGAAATTATAATAATCATCGTTTAATAACTTTATTATGTATTGGTTGAATAAAATAATAAATATACAGGCCATATTGTATGGATACAAAACAAGGTAGTATGGAATACTATTACTGAGACTTCGGCCGTCATCGTAGACAATCAAGGAAAATGGAATTATATCGATGACAATAGGGCATTTTCTCACGAAGGTTATCATTTGGAAATCCCTGATGATATAGAAGCATTTTCGCTTGTTTTCATAGTTGATTATAGACGTTTTGAATATAAAATGATCAACGTCAAAAATGAAGGGGATCAATGTTGGCACTATCATGGTAATAAATATGAATGGGAAGTATATCCATGTCCGTAGAGAGTCTTTTTACGATCAAATTTTTTCAAACATTTCATATAGTGTATGATTATAAACAATTTTGCTCCTTGTCAATTCAATTTATTTCATTATATAGTCATAATTCAATGGAAATTTTATTGAGAAGCAAAATTTGAAATTATTAAGGTTCTTTTAAATAAATATAATTATAAATGTACTGTAATGTATTTTAATTTATAAAATATGAATATAGTTTTTTTTTTACTAAATAAGATCATATGATATAATAGTACGATACTTAAAAATTTGAGTTTACATCACTTTTTGAAATTTATATTTTTTTCGATTTAAAGAAAGGAAATTATGAAATCGATAAAAAACAGAACAGTTACATAAGGTTTCTAGAATATTCTAATTTTTGTTTGCAAATGAAAAAAATTTAAGTATTCGAAAATCAAAACATGAAAATTTTTTTTTGATGGAAATAATAACGGAGGATCTCACCAATCAAATCAACATTTGAACCTAGAAATCCATTTCGGCATCTTATAAATCACTGGACTGGGGATTTCTATTTAACAAAATTTTCAAATATCTAATTTAAATTGTCTAAATTTTTTGTATATTAGAAGAAATAAGCTATAAAAAATTTATTGATTTATTTGCTAAATTTCTTTTTTTAACAGAAATAAAACAATTTTTTGAAACTATCAAATGAATTTTTCCAAAAAAAAAAAATAATAATAATAAAAAAAATATTTGCACTACACTACAGCACTTTTTTTTTTAAAAAGAATTATTTTTAATTCTTTCTCATCTAGATAACGTCATTATAATTAATGTATTGTATTTATGTCTTTTCGGTAAGTTCGTTATTTTTTCCTTTTTAACTCTTTACTTTGTCAATATTTGTCATTCCATTCAATCTTTCCCTTTTTATTCCTTCTTTTTTAACCTTAATATTTTTTTAAAAAAACCATATTCTAAATATACTAATAAAAAACGCCTTTCGACGTTAATTTCAGAAAAGATCGAATGGACCTAGATGCCTCTATTCAGTCATACGAAAAGAATAAAGCAATATAAGAGAACCTTTTCTTCGCAATTTCTTAATTTACATTGTTGACTAAATCAATTCCATCAGATGAGGACAATCATAAATTTTCCTCCTCATGTATTTCATTTGTATTCTGATGGTAATTGCTTATCGTCATTTATCGTGATTCTTATTATTCAAAAGAAACCTGTGCATGATTGTGACTTCCATAAGTATTGTAACACTTCATTTAAAATTTTTAAATTGTATAAATTGTATAACTTAAAATTCAATAATCATACGACATGCCAAATTTTTATTAACATATATTTAAATTTTTTTATTTTATTTGTATTTAATGACCATATTAATAAATAATTTAAATTCCTTGATTAATTTTTAACGAATTACACTAGTTTTTTGATAAAACCATCACCATTTTGTATACTTTTAAGTACATTCTTAACTCTTTGTGGAATTGTATCAAACAACTTCAAATAAAAATAACATCGATTTGATTCCAAACTAAATTGATTGCTATAATCAGCATTGGAGATCTGGACTAGAACAATTCCTGATTGATCGATTCGGACCACTATATTATACTGTCATGGGCTCCATAGGGAAGTATAGTAAGTTAAGTTAGTTCACAAAAGAGGTGAAACACTGGTTAAATATAATAGGTGCTATCAATCATAAATTAACTTAATATTGTAATTAATGTTGCGACAAATAATTTAATATTAAAAAATGGTAAATTGGTGAAGTTCGCGAAGTAATTTATTTTAAACTAATTTTTGAAAGAACTTGAAGGAATTGTAAATATTGCAAAATTATATGTAACATTTATTTACTGTATATGATGATTAAAAATTAGTATTTATTAATTAAATTGTAAATTATTAAAATATTTTCTAATATAACTATTTCTATAACTTTGTTAAATTAAGAATAAGAATAATTTTTTAGTTTATAATTTTAGCATAAGTTTTTTAAACTATAATTAACATTTATTTTACGAATGATTTATATAAATTTATTTTTGAAATGTATTTTTAAATGTTAAAAAACTAGCTTTTATATTAATAAATAAATTTTATATTATAAAAATTTCTTAATAATTATAAAGAAAATATAATATCATTTTAATATTTATATATATATATTTATCTTTAAAAAAATATATCATTATCATATATAATTTCTAACTTTTAAATTATATAAAAGTAAAATATTTATTTTTTATAAATTTAGTGGTGAAGATTTGAAAGTCTAGGCAAATTTACAAAATACTAATAATAATGAAAATGTTTATGCTGATAAAAATATAAACAGAAAATTGAGTAATTATTTATATTTTTATATTTTAGTAATATAGTTTGATTACTTTATTTTAAATTTATTTTAATATAATTTAATTTAATGTAAATAAATATAATATAGTTTATAATTATATAAATTAATCTATCAGTATATTTATTTAATATTATATATAGAAATATTAAATATTAAGAAGATTTTATATTACAACTAATTACAACTAATTTAATTAAAATAATAAATAAATAGTTTCTTATAATAATGTTAATAATTTTAATTAATTAGAAAATGTTATTATCTAACATTAAATAATTTAAAAATATGATATCATTAATTAAGTTTAGTTAGCTTAAATGATTATCAAATATTTCATTTCAAAAATATTATTTACTTGATTAAAGTTATTGTTATTCAAATTTGAATAATCAACAATTTGCATACAATTTAAATTGATTAATTTGACTGAATAATTTTAAAATATCATATGAGAATGTTTTTAGTAAATTAAGTTATGAGGCTTAGTAAATCATATGATCTGTAATGTAATTTTACTGAAAATGCTTTCATATTTCAAATATCTTTACATATGGTTGACAGAGTATAAGTTTGATTTGTAAATCATTTTTAATTTAATAATTCGCTAATATAATATTAAAAAATTTTACATGAATTATATTTATAACAAAATAAATTATTAACCACAATTTTTTTTATTAATAATCTAATTAATGATTATTTTTGAAATATTAATTCCAATTTTATTAGATTGAATTAATCTAAATTTTATATAGGCTGAATTATTATTTTCAAAATTATTCATCCCACAATTTTTAATAAAAAATATAATCAATATAAGTAAACGTTGTTACGTCTGATTTGTAACTCAAATAAATTCACAAAATTAATAATGCTAAGACTAACTCAAGGAATCACAACAGAGATTTGTAATAAACATCAAAGATTATTCTTTATTACATACGAGTAACTTCTGAATATTTCAGAGATTACGTTTCAGGTATTACACTTTAAGTCAATATAATGAATCAATACAATATCACGCAAAGTTAATAATCAATAATAATATATACACAGGTTACAGAGTTGTAAAGGATAAGTTTTAACTTGATTAATTATACGTTTTATTAATAATATAATAAATTATAAGTTCTTTACCTCGTAAGGTCATAAGGTAATAATCTCTTTCAGTAAAATATTATTCTTACTCCTTCTTAAGGTATATATTAATTGATAGATTTATTCATTAGTATCCTTTTTTAATAATAAAATAAAGGAATTTATACATGTTTGATAATTATAAAATAAACTAAAATAAATATATCTATGAAAAATAAATGACATTTCCAAGGAAATAAAGTTGACAAAATTGATCAGCAAAGATGATCATGTTAATAAAGTTGCCCATTACACTAGAAATAAAGTTAACTTCAGGATTGACGAGATGATAAACAAGGACATTTAATTGACATTGAATTTGTAAGCAGATTTTAGCCAAAATTTTGCACTGTTACAACGTGTATAGTAGAGGTAATAAAATAATAATTAAAAAGAAAATGATCAGTAATTATAATATGTTAATGTTAACATTAATATTAATATTAATATTAATTTTAAGATTAGTTTTTGGCTAATTTTCTTTTTAAGATGCTAATTTTTCAATTTTAATATTAATTTACTAATAATTAATCTTTTATTATTTTTAAATTAAGCTTTTTCATATCAATTCAATCAGTAGTCAACAAATCTTTTAGTATTTAATAAGTAATAATAAGTTTAATTAAAAAAAATTAAAAAAATTAAATTAAACTATTAAAATTTAGCTTTTAATAAAAATAAATAAAAATTACGAATACCAGGTTTAATTAAAAAATAAAGTAAAAAATTGCTATTAAAATTTAGAATTTAATAATTTTAATAAAAATAAAAAAAAATATTATTTAAATTAAACTTTAACGTTAATAATTAAAAAAAATTAAAAAAAAAATCTGAAAACTAATTAAATTAAATTGAATTAAAAATAAATATATGAGAGGCAGTTAGTAAAAAAGGAAGAAATCCAAATTTTGGTCAAAATTTATATTATTAGACCACTTGGATGATCTTGGTCATGTGTATAAAATTAGCTTAATAATTAAAATTAACAATAATTTTAATAATTATTTTATAGTTATAAACAATTATGATTGTTTGAATTTTTTACTAATATATGACAAAATCCTAATTAATATCATATATTATTTCTTTATTATAAACTGTTTATTAAATTAAAGTTTAAATTAGGTTAGAGTTAGATTTGAAGTTGGATTAGAATTAGAGTTAAAATGAATTAGGGTTAGTATTAATGTTAATGTTTTAATTATATTAATAGATTATTTTAAAATATTTGATATTTAAATATTATTTTAAAATTTATATAATATATGCAAAACATTTCTTCAATTTTGAATAGCAAAGAATATTACAGCTAACATTAATCATTTTACTAAGTAATTTTTATATGAGGATTTAGGCATTTTTTATTTCATATTATGTAACTTTATTATACTTTTTTAAGATTTATTTATATAATTATTTGTTAAATTCATAACTATTAATTTATCAACTTAAAAACTCAAATACTTATATAACTTTTAGTAAATTTTAATTGAAAACAGGCAATTTACTTATAAACTTATAAATCTTTCTTTATATTAAAAATAAATATAAATGTTTTTTTTTAAAAATAGAGTATTATTGAAAAAATAATATGCTTGAATAAATTTCAATTTTGTATTAACAAATTAAATGTTTGTCATTTAATATATGATAAAGTTTATTTAAATTAAATGTTTGAAAGATTTTAATAAAAACTCTTGAAAGGTATATTTATAATTTTGCTTAATATATATTTTTTTATATTTTATTCTGAATATATGGGAGTTGATTTATTAAAAATATGTTATAAGACTAGTAAATTGATTTGAATAATTGATGATCAATAATATTTATATTACAATATACATAATTATTCAATAAAAGATTACACTAATAATAATATTAAGTTTAATCAATTATTAAGATGATTCTTTAATTATATATATATAACATTTTATTTTATTAATATTTTCACAAATATTAAATTATTTAAAAATAAAAAACTATAAAATATAAAAAATTTTGTTATTAAATTCGTCTTACAAAATATTATTACATCAACAATTTTACTGTATAACACTTGAGATTTTACTATTAAAAACATACTCTGAAGCATTTTATATATGGGTTGTGATCTAAGAAAATCAAGTTCTAAAAATTTTTTATCAAAATTGAGATTTCAAATGCATTTTAATTTTTATTGAATTTAGATTAAAATGTAATAAGATATTAATTTTAGTCAATAATTTCTCAGAACTTGATTTTCTTAGATCACAACCCATATATTGATCAATTATTGATTATTACTAAAATTTACATTGATCATTTAAGTTAATAGCTAATTAATCAAATTAAGTATATTTAATATATTATAATATAAATCAAAAATCTCATAAGTTTCTGTAATGTATTTTTAATAGCACAGCTCTTTTATTATAATAAAATGAATTAATATTACAGATTACTTTTTTTACTTGGATTTTTGAAACTTAAATTTTTTATTTTTTTTACTTAAATAATATAGTAAAAATATTTCAATTAAAATTTTCTTTAGATTTTTTTAAATATAAAAAATAATGAACTCTAATAATATTGAACAAATTTTTACTTAATTTTAGAAGGTATTTTACTAATTATAAAGTTACAATAAACAAAAAAAGTAAAAATTATGTGTCATATATTATTATAATATAAAAAAAAATACTTTAAAATTAAAAGTTACTAAATTTAATAATATTAGTATAGATGAAATAAAAAGAAAAGTAAAACTAAAAACCTTTTATTAAAATAAAAATAAAAATCTTAGTTTTAATATAAATCTTAAAAATCATTTTTTTATAATAAAATATCTGAAAATCCATTTTTCTCTTATAAATTTATATATATTTTTATTGTCAAAACTATGTATGATCCAATGCAAAAAGTCTGATATGCTAATTTATTTATAGTAAAAAAATAAAATTTTAAATTTAATATAAAAATTTAAACATTTTGTTTATATAAATTTTCAAAATATTTTAATATAAAATTTTATTAATTATCAATTTCTTTAATTTTATAATATTTATAATCATTTTTAGCCATTAATATATCATTACTTGATTTTTTATATTTTATGATTTTTTAAATGCTTTTTTTTCAAAATTCAATAATAAATTTAGTGGTAGCCTTTTCATAAAAGAAATATAACAATTTGTTCCTAATAGTTAAAATATTTGAGTAAGAATCAGACTTAGCAACTTTACTTTAATAGTTGATTAAACTCCTTTAATTGATTGGAATTCACAATAATAAGGCAGGATATAAAACAAATTATAGTTGGTATTTTTTAGAGCTTATTCCTCTCGGCAGAAAGATTAAACTAATAGATGGAATTTTGTATACAAGATAGCGTGTATATAATGAAAATCCTATTTTTGATTAAGAAGAATTTAAGAAGATATTTGAGAAAGCTGAACCATTATTGAAAGGTTTTTTTGACCAATTAGTTACCGGAACTAACCTATAAGCTAAAATTTCATGATTAATGAAAAAAATTAAATGTAATTAGTTTCGTTTTATTATTTTTTAGCAGGCCTTAACAATAAATTTATTAACAGAGTTAAGGTAGAAGTTGGGCTTTTGTTAGACTGGTTTGGAGCATCTTCGTTGACAATAGAAACTTTAGCTGATGCGGGCTTGATGATAAAATGTGAAACTATTGTGAAACAAAAAGCTTAACATGCAAAAATGCATACAATGATAATGGAAAAGTTTTTATTGAACAATGTAGATATATAAATATTTTATTGTTTTATGATTTGTAAATAATCAGCTAACATATATAACTTATTCGGTTATTCTTAATATGGATGACTTTTATAATATTCATGAGTACTATCATAGTGATATTGTACCTGAAATGCGTTAATGTCTAAAATGATTATTTTAGATATTCCAAATCAGAATGCGCATTTGAGATATCCAAATATGAAGATTATTTCGGATATTGAAGGCATGATCCATACTGCGCTAATTAACTATAGCCAATCATGTGATTTGGATTGGTTGGCCGATCTGACCGATATGACAAATTGGACAAATATGACAAATATGACATATTGGTCATATTTGACCAATCTATCAGATTTATTATATTTATTATATATATTATATTTGTTATTTTATATAGATTAGTTATATTTATTATATTTATTATATTTATCATATTTTATTTACTATTATTTTATTTTGTATAAATACTCTATATCTTTGACCTGCTAAATGGCAGAGTCGCTACTAATTCTCTAATAAAACAATAACATTATCTCTAAAACTTATCTTTGCTCATTAAATAATTCATTCTTCTTTAAATTTATATCAATAAAGACGATCTGACCCTTCAATATAAATATTTGTGTTTATTTCTTCCATAGTTTAAATATACTTAAACTTCTTGCTAGCAAATAATCTTTGTTAACTTAACGATGAACAGTTTAAGCTTAACAATAAGCATTTGCCTCAAATACGCATTTATCCCAAATGATCACTTGGAATATCCCAAATGATCATTTTGGATAATCAGATGATCATTTCGGATAATGTTTTAAATGCTCACTTCAGATATCCCAAAGACCACTTCAGATAATATTCCAAATGCTTATTTTGAATATCCCAAATGATCACTTTAGATAATATCCCAAATGCTTATTTTGAATATTCCAAATGATTATTTTAGATATGAACATTTTAGATATTCCAAATGACCACTTTGGATATTATTCTAAATGCATTTTAGATATTCCAATGACTACTTCTGATATTCACGAATTGTAATTTCAGACAAATGACCTCTTTGAACTGTTTTAAATGACCAAAAATATATAGGAATTTAACATTATATGCCAAAAAGTTGAATTACTAATTAAGATGGCCTATATTTTTTTTTGGTTCATTTGAATGTTTTTTTAGAATATAAAATAGTTATATTGAGCATCTGAATTGATAATTTTAATTGAAGTGATTATTAGAATAAGTGGTGGTCATTTGGGATATCTAAAGTGAGTATTTGGAATATTATCTGAAATGAGTATTTGGGATAATTTCTGAAGTGATTATTTGGGATATCCTAAATAATTATCTAGGATAAATGCGTATTTGCAAATCCATGTCTGAAACGATCTTCGCATTTAAGATATCCTAAATATGCATTCTGATTTGGAATATCCAAAATTTCATTTTAAATATTAATGTATTTGGTCTATAATAGTGATAAAACGATTATACTTTAAGTCTCTCATTTTATTACAATCTTCCTAAAAGTCTTGCCAGAAACAGCTTCTATCCCATTTTATAATCCTAATCGAGAAGAAAGTAAAGGAAATATTCATAATCCAAGGGGTATTGATAAAAACATTATTATATAAAATACTCACATATTGTTCTTTCTTTATTTATGATTTACTTATATAGGATATAAATAAGCATTTGCTAATTTAGCGCTTTTAATAGAAACATATGATAAATAAGTTAAGCATCTTTTAATTTTGATAGAATTGAATAACGCTAAGTCAATGGAAGTATGAAGAATACAAAGTTAGTTGATCTAAAAGAGGGTTCCCTTTATTTTACTAGTAATTACATAGAAGTTGTTAAACATATGATAGATGTTTCTGAAGTAAAAGATTATATGAAGATGCAACATTATTTACATCTATTGACTACCCTAGATAACTTCATGTATACTGTACTATCAACTATCGATCAATGTTGGCGATGCTTCTTGAATACCAGAATAAATTCTACATATCATTCTGATGATTAGTGTTTTACATGTATCCTTAAACATTCGTAATACCATATTTCTTGCAAATTATAAGTTTTTTAACAAGCTTTTTCATAAGGTATTTGGACATCTGAAAGTATTAGCAAAAAAGCCAAAACCTTACAAGATTAGTTTAATACTTGAACTTACGTTTTAAGGCTGATTTGCATTTAGTTGTTTTACATAAATTCAAACGGTCCAAAGATCTAGAAGTCTGATATTTCATCAATTTACTGGATAAAATCTTTCTGTTAGTCTTAGACTTCTATTCAGTTATATTTCATAGTAGAAATTGAAGAGTATACAAAGAGGTAATGTTTCATATTTGGGCTATTTTTTTTCAATATAATTATAAACACTATAACAAATTGCTATTAGCATTTTTAAATGATATTTTCTACTGGTCTAATACTTGTCATCCTATTTCACAAGTTATTTCAGATTTTCTCCATGTTTATAATGATTATTATGTGAAGAATTTTCACAGTTCATTTCAACAACAAATGCAGAAATCAAATACAGCGGAACAAATTATTTGATAAACACGAGTAATCAATCAAATGCGTGATAACAACTCTTTCATAGACGTATTTTCTGAGGATCACAATATCAGATATTTAGCAAAACAGCTAGAATATCTTGAAAAACAGATCGCGCTTTTCCTTTTAAATTTTTTACAAGTATCTATTAGAAACTTGACAAATTGAGAGTTATTTTATTTGATACACATTCAAAATCCAAAGTATATGAATTCCTAACTCTCGCAGCTGAAATCAATATTAAAATATTGGTAATGGTTTAGAATACAATACATCCTTCCTGAAAAAATAGGTATTATAATTTGGAAGGATATGTAGATTCATGTGAGATAAGTTGTATTTTAATTTGTAAACATGCTTATCATTTTGAGTATTATTTATTTAAATTATTAAGTTTATGCTGATATTGCATTGATTATCTTGTAAGAAGAATTAAAAAAATTGTCAGTTATCAGAAGACTCTGATTTCATTTAACAAGTTGGTTACGAATGAGATTAGAAATGAGTTGCATATTACTGAACCAATTGATGATACTAATATTGGCAGCGAAGATCATTTATTAGATAATAATATATATAGATCTACTTTTTAAAGGGGCTATGAATATTATGCATTGTATATGAAATATAAGTGAAAAGATGTGAATAATAATTTTAGTTCAATGGTTCAATGTATTTTTATAAATGAATAATAAAAAAAAATTCAATTTTATACAATTATCTTTATTATATATCTTTCTCATTTGGGTTAAATATCATATTAACTATTTTTTGATTAACTATTTTTTTTTTGATTGATTAATTTACGATTTTGATTAATGTGAAATCACGTGATTTTAACAGCCAATAGAATTTCAGCAATAGTAAAAAATGATCTGCAAAAATTGGCCAATCACAATGAAAGACCGCAATGTTGTACAAAGTATCTATATTATGTATAGTTTTAATTAATCGTGATATATTTATATACTTATATATCTAAACATTAGAATAAAGAACTAAAAAAAAGGATTCCTAATTTAGGTTATACCAAATTCTATTTATTTTAATCAAGGAAATTTTTACATAATTTCCCGAAAATAATTGTCCAGAGCGTAGCGAAAAACTATATAATTCCATGCTCTTTGACTCAAAATGTCCGGATGTCCGTCCGCTTGTTGTTTGAGTCGATCAGTATGATTAGTATAAACAACAAATAAAGGAAGGAACCACAATACTTTTACCATTTCTGTAATTAGTGTAAAACTTTATTATTATTAAATTATATAAAAAAGCTCCAGACTTATAACGGTTCCGTTTCCTAGTTTACATGAATATTATAAATGTGTAAAACTTTAAAAAATAATGTAATTATATTTATTTCATATTATAAATAAATTTATTGAAACGTTACTATATCAGAACATTATTAGCCATTTACAGCGTAAAGGCTGTATACAGAAAGGTTGGTCAAGAATTATGACCAAATTTATATTATTTTTGATACGAATACCACAACCTATAGAATATACACTAGAAGGGGAGGGTGGGTGGTAAGAAAATTCGTAAATGGGAAATTGCAAATTTGCAGGAAAGAGAAAGGTGGGTTTGAATAAAATGGTCTAGGAGTTGTTAAACTTAAACTGTTTGTCGTTAAGTTAACAAAGATTATTTGCTAGCAGGAAGTTTAAGTACGTCTAAACTATGGAAGAAATAAACACGAATAGTTAAATTGAAGGGTCAGATCGTCTTTATTGATATAG